CCCCAAAAAAAAAATAGGGGAAAGGGGGTGGTGGAAAGGAAATATACCCCACCAGGCTCCATCCTCCTAAAAAAACCTTAAAATCCAACACATACCTCAAGTTCATGAATGTAGCCGCGGTCTTTGGGCGACGTTCCTCCCATGATGAGCGATGCCATGTGGTCGCAGCTCACCTCGTAACGCTTGGGTGTGGGGAAACCGTCAATGTTGATGAACCCTTTGCGCCCGTGTCGCTTGAACTTGACCTGAACATTTACAAAAGGGACGTGGTCAGTGTTTTTGGTGTAAGAAAAACCTTAAAAATAGGTTCAAAAGCGGAAAAAAATCAACTTCCAAAAACTAATAGGCTTTGTATGAATTCATGAAACTGTGACTAAAATAGAAAGCAAAGACACACACACACACACACACACACACACACACACACACACACACACACACACTCTCTCTCTCTCTCTCTCTCTCTCTCTCTCTCTCTCTCTCTCTCTCTCTTTCTCTTCAAAATACTAGAACAAAGAGAGATCACCCCCATCCCCACCTTCACCCCTTATGTCTCCTGTACAAAGTGAGAAAAGATTGATAAGAAATATCTTTAAAAACTACAAGACATGACGACAGCTACATTTTATGACACATTGTCCGGAGAAACAGAGGAAGCCCAAAACATCTTTGGATTGACTCTGTAAAGGACAGCCTCATAGACCCACATCTAAGCCACCCGACTCCAATCTGACTGACGATTGCTTCTCCCCGCGACACCCACCTGTACAAGTAACAGGAAAAAAGTGAAAGGAAAGGAAAAAATACCACGATATACAGCCGAAATTGTTTAAGGCGTCAAATCTATGTCGAGGAGAAAAGAGGTCGTCTTTTAAAGGTGGCCGTCTTACATAATGTCCCAACAATGTTTTTAAAGAATACTGAAGATAGGAAATGGAAAGTGGCCGTTAGTACAGGTGGTTGTCTGATACAGGTGGCTGCAAGAGCAGGTTCGACTGTATAATTCTTTTCTCATACTCACGCTGTAGGAGATGGAGTGCCACTTCCCGTCGTTGAGCTGCGTCATGTTACGAGTCGGGATGAAAATGTCTGCGTGTAGCGTTGGGCACTTGATCTTGTACATGAGGTCTCCGTTCTGTAAAATCAAGGCTATGGATTGGCCGTTGTGGCCGTGGGGACGCCCATAGAACAAGACGCCATTGGGAGCTGTTGTTCTGAACTCAAAGTCCAACTGGAATCTGGAAAGGTAAATAGAGAAAACGCAATGTACTAAAATCGTAATTATAGTTATTGTGTAATGTAGTTCTACTCTGTTAGTGTTTTATGCCTCTAAAATAGCACCTTGCATGTTTTGCTTCTCAGGAAGTTGAGATTGTTTAAGAGTGCTATCAGGTCTGTTGGGGTAATTATTATATTATAGATTTTTCAGCAAGCGGAAATTTGCGCTATATGAATGCCATTTATTATTATTACTCTTCCTACGAGTTTGGGTTTTCTTTTATTTCGTGAGTCGTAAGAATTGTAACGCATACTAAAAAACAAATCTGCTATTTTAAAGGCAGATTTCTTGGCCCAGTAGCAAGGGAAAAAACAGAAAAAGGAGGGAAACAGGATTTTCAAAAACATGAAAGTAAATATCACACCTGTACACTTGTCCCTGGGTGTGCTCACATTTTCTATCTAGTACAAGAAGGATTGCACCTCTTTCTGGTATGACGCGGGACCCTACTCCCCCCCTCCCCCCATCTTCCCAATCAACCCCGCAAGGGTGCTTCTATTTTAGAATACAGGCCTACTTGAAGTCTCCTTTGGGAACTTGTTTGACCTTTTATGTACACCTGGGGTCTCCACTCTCTTTGGGGGCCAACACGCGGGTACACGTGACCCCATGCCCGTAAGATGATTTTTTAACTATTTATTTTAAGAAAGGAGACATCAACTTGACATAAACCTCGAAAACTATTATCTATAAAAGCCAAACATAAAGTACAAAACCAGTTTTGTAATCGTATCTCTCAACTAATGAGCCGGCTTATTCTTACTCTTTTATTTAAACCTGTCCCTTAGAATTGAAAAACAATTAGTAATTAACCTTATCATTCAAAAGTATGATTTAATAATATAACACAGTCATATTATTATGTGTGCTTGCGAGTATTTTTTAAATTATCAATATGCTTACGAGTATTTTTTAAATTATCAAATTGAATATTGATGAACAAAATGATATCCACATTCAAATGGATCAACAGTGGGCTGTGGTCTTCTTAGGCAAGACGGGCTGACCCTAGCTTCAAGAAAACAAAACAAAGTGGGTGGTCTGCAATAGGGGACGTAAAAACACTTATATTTAAAGACAAAAATAACTAACTCATTTGCCAACTAAAGCTTATGTATACATTCGTGTGCTTACTTGCTTCTTGTACTCAAGAGTGACGGATCGACGAGAACAAGTTCCACATGACTTTTAGTCACTGGCTCGATGCGTACACCTTGGTTGGACAGGATTTCGATCTCTGAGTTCTGGGGATGGAAAGTACATGAACAAAGTCGTTAGTCGTGATGGTGTAACTAACATCCGGTCAGCGTAGTTCTTTGTTTCATAAACGTTTCCTGTACTTCGGTGACCACGAATCTGTGGCGTAGCGATTGGACGATTTGCTAGAAGACATGAGTTTGAATCTACATTTAGGAGAACTTTTATCGATCATCTCTGTCTTTCTGCTGAGACATTGTATCCCTCACAGCCCGGGTTGTCCTTGCAGCCCGCCTCGAAAATGATTTAAATAGTGTCGATGGGGTATGGAACTTCAAAAATAATTACTTCTGATTTGTGTCTTAGGAGAAAAACTCTAAGAATTTTGTTGTTGATGAGGTTAAATGTTGTTTTTTAAATCCAAGTCACTCCATCGGAGATTGATGTCAAACCGTTACTCCCGTCTCATCTGCTTGTTTTTCTGGTTATAAAGGGCCGTTCAGTAATACTCCTGACATTTCATCAGTACAGGAACAATGAATATGATCTAAAATGCAATGTGGAAGCCAATTTAATAACCTCTAATGAATATTAAGCTAGAGCTGTGCAGAATATTTCAGATTTGTACAAAAAATCTGGATTGTTTCGTAAAGTGAAGGAAATTCGAGAGCAGTGCTTACAATTACGAGCTTACTTTAAAATGATATTTTTAAAAGTCATTTGTACAAATATTATGAAGCGTGTAAAATGGACTTGAGGCATCGCCCGCCTTATTTTCTCCGCCCTGTCATTTCGACCCCCCCACCCTCTCTTTCTCTCTCTCTCTCTCTCTCTCTCTCTCTCTCTCTCTCTCTCTCTCTCTCTCTCTCTCTCTCTGTCTCTCTCTCTGTCTCTCAAAAGCAACAGGTGGCAGGAACATATCTCCAACCGCACGCTTCCACACAACTCGCAAAATGCAGAAGTAATACCTCGAACACTCTCGAGATCTGGGGATAGTTTAAAAAACCCTCAATCACCGCTTTATCTTACCCTCCTCTGATTACGAAAAAAAAAATGATCGCCGGGAGGCTAAATATAAACTCCTAAATTGCTGATTTTGCATAGCGACGTTCAGTTAATGCAAACCATAATAGCCAAAGAAAATGTTTTTAAGCATCCATCGTGCACCTTGTGCACACATCAAGCATTCTCTGAAGGTGTTCCATTATGCCCTGCCACCTGGCCAGATAGCGAACCAAGACGATAATTGATTACCCGTAATGCATTCACTACCGGAAGTTTCATTCACCAGACGTGACCCGCTTCCGGTGCGGCGGAGAAACTATGAGCTTACCTCAACGCGCACCTTCACCAGCCGCCGCATTCCGACCCAAGTTTACAATCAGCGATTTGGACACATGGAGAGAGAGAGAGAGAGAGAGAGAGAGAGAGAGAGAGAGAGAGAGAGAGAGAAAGAGAGAGAGAAGGGCGGAGTTTTTTGTACGGGGATGAAAACAAATTCCCGCGAAACGAGAAACGGGCGGAACAAAACAGTTCCACCGTATGGTGCAAAAGAATGTGCGCGAGGAAAAACAAAGCGTGTGCTTTTCAGGGACTTGCCATAAACAAGGGCTATATTTAGGTCTCAGGATCTTGACACGAGATTAGCTTAATAACGTGGGAGGAATTCCGATGATGCTTCTGTACGCCCCCACCCTCTGTGATTCCTGAATTTGGCTATCTATGTTTATGTTCCACGGTTCTTGCGAAGGGTCTTCAATACGACGAAGGGGTAGAGTTTACGGCGTTGGCTTTTTCAAACTACAGACCACGTGCTTATGGCCACATGTGTGTCTTTAACCTTTCAATTTTGGGTCTGGTTTAAGTTACTAAATAGCTATTCGGCATTCAATTTGGAAGTGAATGAAGCAAAGAGGCAATTCATTGCCCATTTGGAAGGAGAGATAAAAGTGGCTGAAACGAATTTTTAGGCCATAGCCTAGAAAGAGAAACGAGACTGCAGATTGTGTTAGGTTTTGTAGGTGGTGGTGGTGGTGAAGGTGGTGGTGGTGGTGGTTTGTGTGTGTGTGTGTGTGTATTTGTTTGTGTGTCTGTGTGTGCATGTAGATGTGTGTGTGTGTGTGTGTGTGTGTGTGTGTGTGTGTGTGTGTGTGTGTGTGTGTGTGTGCATGTATGTATGCGTGTATGTGTGTGTATGTGTATTTGTATAAGAGCGAAAGAGAGTTAGAGAGAAAGAGAGTGAGAGAGAAAGAGAGTGAGTGAGAGGAGAGCATGTGAGCGAGGAGAGGGAGGGAGAGAGAGAGAGAGAGAGAGAGAGAGAGAGAGAGAGAGAGAGAGAGAGAGAGAGAGAGAGAGAGAGCCTTGCAAAAAATACCCAAAAGTCTACAAAAGCTGCTCACACACATACACATACACAAGCACACACACACACAGACATACACACACGCGCACACTTGCACGCACGTGCACACACCCACAGACATACACACACGCGCAAACGCGCACACGCGCTCACGCGCACGCGCACAAACATATGCACACACAAATACACACAAATACACAGCTTTACGCAATAGATGATCTCTTTTCCAGGGATCATATTTTTCTGAAAAATAAGCACAATTGGATACTTCTGCATCAGTACAACATATATTAATGTGGGCTGGACAATGGCTTTCCAAACACAATGAATATAAAACGGAATGTCAGATACGGGTCCCAAAATAGCATCGACAAACTAAATTGTTTTTCGTTTGGCGTGTAGCGTAGGCGTGTCCATTTATTTCCCCGGAATAACTGGCTCGTCGTAATCAGTGGACCCTGCACTTTTGATTGACTTCTTTCAGGTGGTTTGCGCACCGATTAACTTAAGGCTTAAAAAAGCTCATGGCTCTGTGTGGAATCGTTGATTCCACTTTTGGCTCAATCAAGGGTCAGTTACAGGGAACAATATCATTTTAGGTCTCCATCCTATTGCCTCGAAATTAGTCCCACTAACAGAAACAAGCATCACAAATGACTTCCTGGGTCTCTGTGGGAGTGAAGTGTTTCAATGCTGTTTTTGTCTTTCTGAATAATTAGGGAGCCCATTGTTGTCTAATGTGCTTTTAAAGTACCTTAAAGTTCGTCAATAAAGATCCTAAAATCAGAACATCGCCAATTTACGCAGAGCTATAGACTGGGATAGACTGGGCATAATTTAAGCAAAACCCAGCAGTTACTTTGCACAGCTAAGAATACTTATGGCAGTCAGGAGTGTGGGTGGGTGGTTTAGGAATGAGAGAAAGAAAAAAAGAAAGAAAGAAAGAAAGAAAGAAAGAAAGAAAGAAAGAAAGAATGAAAGAAAGAAAGAAAGAAAGAAAGAAAGAAAGAAAGAAAGAAAGAAAGAAAGAAAGAAGAAAAAAAAAAAGAAGAAGAAGAAGAAGAAGAAGAAGAAGAAGAAGAAGAAGAAGAAGAAGAAGAAGAAGAAGAAGAAGAAGAAGAAGAAGAAGAAGAAGAAGAAGAAGAAGAAGAAGAAGAAGAAGAAGAAGAAGAAGAAGAAGAAGAAGAAGAAGAAGAAGAAGAAGAAGAAGAAACAGAAAAAGAAGAAGAAGAAAAACAACAACAACAATGGCAACAGCAACAGCAACAACAACAACGACGACAACAACAACAACAACAACAACAACAACAGCAACAACAAAAAACACGACTGAACACCACAAGTAATTCATGCATCTGTCAGCTCCAATGGGAAATAAGTTTCATCCCCCCCCCCCCCCCCCCACTTGTTTTTGACACTGGAAGATGATTCAAGAAACTGGACCTCCATTTCAATAACTCTCTCCGGTAAAGATCTACCTGAGGTCTCTGTTCGGAACTTACTTGCCCTACTGTACACATCCGGGGTTTCCACTGTCTGTTGTACCGACACGGGAGTGGTCAAAATCATGTCAAAGACAAATTGAACGTATTTTAAGAAGGATACCTCATTTGAATCGTTATCACTTCTCTAACAGAACACACTGAATGGGGACCTACTGAAGTACCCCTGCAGCCCACTTTCGAGAACACCCCTTCCGCTATTCGAACCAAGAAGATCCGCATCATAACCCAACATGCTGCCCACGGTGCTAGCTAACAGTTTCGACGTTTGTAGTTTAAAGGTTATGGGGTTTTCACCTTGCCCGAAAAAGCCGTCAGTTCATTTCCAGTGAGATGAAGTTTAGTTTACAAATTATCATAGTACTTTTTTGTGTGAGATTGTGTATCGCACTTGGCACATATGAGCTGTCATGCAGAGTCGAACTTGTCAAAAATCTACTATGTAAATTGGGTCAACGAGGGCATTTATAATAATTTACATTTACAGGCTAAGGTCTACCTATCAACTGGCTAAGACAAGTAGAAAGCGTATCTGAAAGAGTCTGTCACAAATGCCCATTAGCCGGCTTAGGTACGCAGAGGATCTGGATTCAATTCCCATCCCGTACTGGAAATTAATGTGTTCCTTCGTTGGTGTTATGTTTCTTGTCTTTATTTTTCCTAAGCCCCGATTTTGCTTGTAATATTCTAAACTACAAATCCAGCTCTGAAATGCTTGGCAGTAGCAATCGGGCATGAACGTGTCATAAAACTTGATGGCCTTTGGAAAAGCTATTTTCCTGACCTGCGGTCACAGCTGGTGTTCATAGCAGACAATCCTGTGCCAAAGAGCAGGTTTGCCCGACCACAGAAAAACGTGAACACCATAAATACGGCGTGCAGTCGGGTTATCATTCACGGAATCACGATTCTCACTTGTCTTCCCAAGCCTATCCACACCCCTTTTTTCACCTTCCCGTTTATCGACACAATATTGTGTGTTGTACACTTCTTGAGTTCCTCCATCCTTCAATAAAGGCCTGTTCCGATTGTCTCTGTGCGGGACGAAAACTTTCCTCAGTCCTCGGTAATTTTCCCCTCCGGCTCTGTATAACCGGATACTTGACATAATTTCATAGTTTAAGAGCCCCTAACCTCCAACCCATTTCTCCTCTCAAGGGGAACGCATACATAATGATAAACT